AGGATGAAGAATACTTCTTTGATTGGAGGAAACTTTGTAAGATGTAATATGAATGGATCACAATTTGAGAATGTGGATATCAGTGGAGTCAATTTTAATGGCGCTTAGATGTTTAATTGTTAATGGAAGAACATTAAAGTTCATGAATTGAATAAATTAGATGGCCATAGTCGGAGTATAAGATCAGCATGTTTCTCTCCTGATGGAAATATATTAGCTTCTGGTAGTAGTGATGAGTCTATACGTCTATGGGATGTCAAAACAGGATAATAAATAGCGAAATTAAATGGTCATGAGCATTGGGTAATGTCAGTGTGTTTCTCTCCTGATGGAAATACATTAGTATCTGGTAGTAGAGATAACTCTATCCGTTTATGGGATGTCAAAACAGGATAATAAAAAGCCAAATTAGATGTTCATACTATTGCCATTATGTCAGTGTGTTTCTCTCCTGATGGAAATACATTAGCTTCTGGTAGTGATGATAACTCTATCCGTCTATGGGATGTCAAAACAGGTTAATAAAAAGCCAAATTTGATGTTCATAATTATGCTATCTACTCAGTCTGTTTTTCTCCTGATGGAAATACATTGGCTTCTGGTAGCTAAGATCAGTCTATCATTCTTTTGGATGTCAAAACAGGAGAATAAAAAGCCAAATTAGCTGGTCATAAGCATTATGTTATTTCAGTCTACTTCTCTCCTGATGGAAATACATTAGCATCTGGTAGTAGAGATAAATCTATCCGTCTTTGGGATGTCCAAACAGGATAATAAAAAGTCTAATTAGATGGTCATAGTAATTATGTAAACTCAGTCTGTTTCTCTCCTGATGGAAATACGTTAGCATCTGGTAGTGGTGATAGGTCTATCCGCCTATGGGATGTAAAGACAGGATAGCAAAAAGCCTATTTAGATGGTCATAGTAACTAAGTTTGGTCAGTCTACTTCTCTCCTGATGGAAATATATTAGCATCTGGCGGTGATGATAAGTCCATCCGTCTTTGGGATGTCAACACAGGATAATAAAAAGTCTAATTAGATGGTCATAGTGATTATGTAAACTCAGTCTGTTTCTCTCCTGATGGAAATATATTCGCATCTGGTAGTTCTGATGAGTCTATCCGTCTATGGGATGTCAAAACAGGATAATAAATAGCCAAATTAGATGGTCATAGTGATTAGGTAAAATCAGTCTGTTTCTCTCCTGATGGAAATACATTTGCATCTGGTAGTTCTGATGAGTCTATCCGTCTATGGGATGTCAAAACAGGATAATAAAAGGCCTAATTGGATGGTCATAGAAGTATGGTCGAATCAGTATGTTTCTCACCTGATGGAAATACATTAGCAGCTGGTAGTGATGATTATACTATTAGTCTATGGGATGTAAAAACAGAAAAATAAATAGCCTAATTACATGGTCATAGAAAGACTGTCACCTCAGTCTGTTTCTCTTCTGATGGAAATACATTAGCTTCTGGTAGTGGTGATTGTTGTATCCGTCTATGGGATGTCAAAATAGAATTATAAACAGCAAAATTATAAGGTCATGAGTTTTGGGTAGAGTCAGTTTGTTTCTCTCCTGATGGAAATACTTTAGCTTCTGGTAGTGGTGATTGTTTTATCCGTCTATGGGAAGTAAATAAAGGATAATAAAAAGCCAAATTAGATGGTCATACTAGTGCTATTATGTCAGTCTGTTTCTCTCCTGATGGAAATACATTAGCTTCTTGTAGTTTGGATAAATCTATCCGTCTATGGAATGTCAAAACAGGATAATAAAAAGCAAAATTATACGGTCATATTGATTCAGTTATGTCAGTCTTTTTCTCTCCTGATGGAAATACATTAGCATCTGGCAGTTTAGATAGGTCTATCCGTCTTTGGGATATCCAAGTAGTATAATAAAAAGCAGATGGTCATATAAGCTCTGTCTGGTCAGTCTGTTTCTCTCCTGATGGATAAACATTAGCATCTAGTAGTAGAGATAACTCTATCCATCTATGGGATATCAAAACAGGATAATAAATAGCGAAATTAGATGGTCATAGAAAGACTGTCACCTCAGTCTGTTTCTCTTCTGATGGAAATACATTAGCTTCTGGTAGTGGTGATTGTTTTATCCTTCTATGGGAAGTAAATACAGGATAATAAAAAGTCAAATTAGATGGTCATACTAGTGCTATTATGTCAGTCTGTTTCTCTCCTGATGGAAATACATTAGCTTCTGGTAGTGATGATGAGTCTATCCGTCTATGGGATGTCAAAACAGGATAATAAAAAGCCAAATTAGATGGTCATA